AGTGCAAAGGAACTACTACAACATAAAGTGCAAAAGAACTACTACAACATAAAGTGCAAAGGAACTACTACAACATAAAGTGCAAAGGAACTACTACAACATAAAGTGCAAAGGAACTACTACAACATAAAGTGCAAAGGAACTACTACAAGGTATGTTCAGGAAGTTTCAATTATGTTACAACCAGAGCTGTGGAGTCTGAGTTGGAGTTGCGGAGTTGCAAAATTTTTACCGGAGTCAGAGTTGCTAAACAAAATCACGACTCCGACTCTTATCATAAAACTTCTTGGTATTGCACGTGCATATACAAAACATTCAATTAACCTTATGTTCATACTAAACCTCAAAGGATATTTTTGTAATTTGTCAAAAAGGAAATTTTTAACTTATCGCATAATATTTTTTAAAGAATTCAAAGAATTTTTCAAAAATTTTGCTTTGGAGTTGGAGTCAGAGTTGGAGTCGGAGTTACTCTAAAAAAATTTCAACAACTGGAGTTGGAGTCGAAGTTGTACTCAAAAAATTTGAACAACTGAAATCAGAGTCAGAGCTAATACTTTTTTTTTACGATTCCACACCCCTGGTTACAAGGCATTGTAAACATAGTAGTTCAACCATAGTCACATTGTCGTAATATTGCTTTTCTTTCTCATAAAAAACTACTCGCCAGTTTTATAGAACAATTTTTTCTCTAAAAAACTACTTGCCAGTTTTATAGAACATTATTGAAGTAAAATACCATTTATCAACAAACATAAAAATTTACCTTTCCAAATGCACATGACGCTAATTCTTTTACTTTCTTCAACTTAGATATAATACTTTCGATACTTAATTCATCCATATCTATAGTAAAAATAGTAAGAATAATGTTTATGTATATTTAATAATTAAATTTGATTTTTCCTGAAAAATTTAATCTTAATTGAATTAGAATTCAGTTAAATTTTTATGCCTAAAAATATTGCAACACACTGAACACCAAGATTACTAAAATTTAAACTTATTTAAATTATAAACATACATAAACTTATCCAAAAGCATTTTTAATCAATTCTATAATGTTTTATATTTATGAGTCAAATTTTTTATTATTTTTAATTTTTGTTTTGCCAAACAAATCATATTAAATATTTCAAAATAAGATAAAATATTCTTCAGGAAACTTACTAAAGTACAAGTACTAAAAGTAAATAAGTAATTAATATAAATAATAAAAATAATAAAATAAAATAATATAAATAATAAAAATAATAAAAAGTAAATAAGTAAATAATATAAATATAAGTAAATAAAAAAGTAATAGTAAGTACATATAGTAAATAATAAATATAATAAAAAGTAAATAAGTAAATAATATAAATATAAGTAAATAAAAAAGTAATAGTAAGTACATATAGTAAATACAACAGTCAGTAAAAAAATGATAAATGATAAGTAAAAAATACAGAGGTTGAGATGAAGAAAATTGCCAAACATATTTGTAACTAAATAAACAAATCGTGTTTATAAAATTATAATATTGTTGTCATTGAGAGTGATTATGGGTGCTCAAATTAATGTTAGCAAGAGCGATTGTGAAATTTTCAAATTGCTGAAGACTGTACTCATAAAAAGCTTTTTATTTGTTATACATTGTTCTTTGTCAACAATTGTTTAGTATCTACAACAGCGCACTCATGACACTACTTCAACAAAGTAGATTTTTATACATTACAACTTCTATTGTGTGCGCCAGATAGCAATTATTTTTAACTTTTTATGGTAAAAAAAACAAACAAACCAAGACCACACAAAAACGCAAGTGCAAGCTCTTATTGATTTAGTATTGAAGAATAATTTAATGACTTTTTTGCTTTCGTTGTTTTGATATTTAAATTTTGTATTTAAAAAAAATTATACTGTAACTTAACTAAAAAGGTTATCTTTTTTTTTTTTATTGAAATTAATTGTTAAATTTTTTTTCTAATAATTAATTAATGATAATTGAATTTCTTTTCTAATAATTTTTAATTTAAATAATCTATTTATTCGTCAAATAATTACCAGATAATAACAAAAAAATAGTTTGAAATTCTTTTTTTTCAAAACTATTTATCAAATTTTAAATTAAAAATTTTCCCTAAACAGTTGTCAACAGTCTTTCCACTTCTTCATTTTCAAAACTGAATGCTGCTAATTCGTCAGTCATGTCTTCATCAGCAATGCCTATTTCATGATTGTCATCAAGAATTTGATTTGTAATCAATGTTGTTGCTGTTGTTATATAGTAATCTGGATCATCATCAACTCAAACCGCTTGTCTTTTATTCAGATAAATTTCTTTTGAATGTTTTTAAATCAGGATTATTTCTTCTTTTGACCAGCTTTCATGGTTTCCTAATATCTTAATGCTAACTTTTAGTGCATGGTGATTTATGAATGAGCATGATGTGTTGAAGCATTGAAATATTAAAAGCAATAAATCAAATAAATCTTTGTTGATGTTTTTACAAAATTA